TAAGTGATGAGAATAAAGAAAAATATCAATCCGAGGTTAATTAGTTGGTCCAACACTAGTTTCTCTGAACTAACATTAAAAGAATTTTATGGTTGACAGTAAGGAGAATGACAAATTTGATCTGGGAGTTAAAGGGTTAACTGTAAAATTTCAACAGGAAAATAATCAGGCAGTTGAGTGTTGTAGATGACACCTTTTTTTCTTTTCTTCAGGAAACTCATGTTTTAGATGATGAAGAACTGGCACGCAAGCTTCATGAAGATGAGAAGAATTTGCGATCAAGAAGACACACTGCAAAGAGACCAGTGGTGAGTTTGTGCTTGATTCCAATTTAATTTGCCCCAAGAAGTATGTTCAGCCCTTTACACCCGAACATCAGTATGCAAGTTCTCCAGACTGCTCTGTATACATGTACCTGCAGATTCCTTGTGGTACTTACAAGGAAAATTTGTCAATCTATCAAGAGCTCGAGTTTGCAATCATTTCCTTTTATTATTCTTACGACCTTTGTGTTTGATTCAGGGATGATTTTGTTTGAAAAAATTAAATGCTTATTATTCACAGGGAGAAAAGGGCTAAATGATTGTGTAAAGGAATTATTATCAAACGGCGCTCTTGCAAATTTTTATATGCCAAGCTGTGGCACAGTCTGACGAAAAGCAATAAGACTGAACCTAAAGATTTTCCAATTTTTAACACAGATGCTGTATCAGTAAGCTTTTAGATTTGAATAGGAGCCTAATCTTCACTCATGTAACAGATGTTTGGCCTATTTGCAATGATGATCTGACTGTTAATTCTCCCCTAGCTGCTAGACATTTCCTTGCAAATTGGTTATGAGAATTTGCTGTCAGATCAAGATAACAACACTTACTTCTGCATGATAAGCTGGGTTTTCTCAATACTCCTTTGCTGGAGAATTTTTGGATATTATTGGGAGAAGTAACATGTTAATCACTTCTAGGAGTGAAAGAATTTACAGTATAATGGAAAGGATTTGTGTTCTCAGTTGGTATTGTTAGCAGTTTTCCACCTCACAAAGGAAAAACTGTCAAGTGTGTTTCTAAAATTAATTTGTAAAACTATATGTATGTGCAATTTAACTTTTAGGAAAGGAGAAAGACAGCAAAAGCCAAGAAACCCAAAGAAAGTGGTGGAGTGACAGGTGAAAATGATTTGATTTTGTAGAAGAAATGGTGCTTACATATTCCTGTGCTCATCTTTTGGCAAATTAAACTGAAAGTCTTTACACACAAACATACGATGGAAGCTGACTCTTCATTTCTCTGTTTACTTCCAGGGTTTAAAAGGATAATGGTGTTGTCACCACAACTTGCAGAAGTTGTAGGTGAAGAAAAGGTGATTGAAATGAAGAAATTGTTAAATCTGCATGCCAGTTTTTAGTCTCTCTTTGAGTCTGTATGTAAAATGATGAGAAACTTAGAGTGATACTGTTCTATTGGCAGCTCAACTACTGAATAAAATGACTTGAAACACTTGTCAAATGCAATACATATAAAGATGTTCGGCAATAATTTGTATCATACTAGTAAATTAATTTCAGAAGAGGCAGGTATATGGAAAATGGCTAATTTCCTGTTTTCAATTTTCCTTTCCCTCTATTAAGCTCATAAATTCTTTTTTTGCCCAACTGATTGATAATGTATTACAAACTCAGATCCTGCAGCAACATAACTTTTTTATTCTATTAAAGGACAAAACAACACTAAGTTTCAGTTTTATCATTTTGAAATAGATATGTTTTGTTAATTGTATATTTCATCACACTTATTTCCCTAGATGACCAGAAGTGATGTTGTGAAGAAAATGTGGGAAATTATTAAGGAAAGAAAACTAGAGGTAATGAATGCATAATGAAAGCTGTTCTCAGAAAAGCAGAAATTTTCTGAAGAAATTGCAGTTCTGTGTTGTAGGGGATATTAATACAGGTAACAACATGATTATGGGTGCAATTTGGTGTTAATAATCAGGAGTAAATTTTTCAATGACAACAAAATTGCATGAGCCTGAAGGGCAAAAGAAATCATGTTGTTACTTCTATCTACAAACATGACACTATCGACATTGCTGATCCTAGCAGTATGCAGGATCCAAAGGTCTGAGGTTCGATTCCTTGTGGAGACTTGGAATTTTTTCTTTGTCCCATGCTCGTGAAAAGACCAATACATCTTTCTCTATGTTGATAATTGTTAATAATTTACATGAAAAATGCATCGCAGAAAGTCAGGAGTGATGAAATTTTGGAAGTGCACATACCGTTTGTAATTTTCACTTGTGTTACATGAAAAATGCACTTGTTTTCAGCCAATCAGACATGTGTAATTTTTTCATATATATTATTACAACTCAAAGATAATTTGGTTTTATCAACTGAGAGTGAGTTGATAATGTGAATTGGCCACCATGTAGAGTTTCTAACTGAAGTTGTGAGTGTTTGCCCTTCATCAGAGCAAAAAGTTTGACTATATAATTTTATTTTCCTGTACTCTGCAGTAACTTGTGTACTCTTTTTTCAGGATCCTAAGAATAAAAGATTTACGCTATGTGATGAACAACTGCAACAAGTTTTTGGTATGTATGTAAACTTAGAGTAGTGGCAGATTGTCAACAATTGCACCTGGCACATGTGATTGTTGTTTTTCTTGAACAGTCTTTCCATGGCAGAAAGATGCCGAGTGAGGTGAAATTCAAGCTCCAAAAGACATGACCAAGATAAAGACCACAATACTGTAAATTTCATACCCTTTTCATGGCAGCAAATGCAAGTGTTCTTTAGCACTGACAGGGCCTATAGTTTTGCAGTTATTATCAGAAAATTTGTGTTTAAGAATGTCTAACCATCAGAATGCCATCATTAAGATAACAAATTTGTCCTTGTTACTTTAAGGTCCTGTTTACATGAAGCTGGGTGGCCCAAGGCAAGCGAGGTAACCTGCCCAGCTGTGGCAAAAAAATAGCCTGTGTTTACATACAATCTGACTACCCTGGGATTCCAGGGTGAATGCAAGTGTAGCCAAGTGGTTTACCCCACCTTGAGACATTTACATGGCAAATTGCAGCCCTGGCTGACAGGGTTACCCTACACTGCAGACCAGGGATTCCACCTGGATGGGTTACCCCACCTATCATGTAAATGCAATAAAAATCAAATGAAATAAGAGATTATGCAGACAGGCAGGTTACCATACCTAGGCAAGTCACCTCACCCACCTGGGGTCTGCCACTTTCATGTAAAAAGGCCTTAAGACCCTTTTTCTTTAGCCTGGGACCTGAACCTTTGACCTTACAACATCAGTCCACTGTGCTCTTAACCCTTTAACTCCTATAAGTGATTAACATGTAACTTCTCCCTATAACATCCACGCATTTAATCCAGCCAACACGTTATGAGAATAATCAAAGTTATCAAGTGGAAGTTAGTAGTCTTGATCTAACACCAAATTCTTGCAATTTATTTACAAGGAAATGTGTAGTAGCTAGAGGGGAGAAATCAAAATCAGATCTTGGGAGTTTAAAGGTTAATTGAACCACCTACAGCAGCAAGGTTAATTTAGTTCATTCTCACTTTTGGTGTCAGTCATAAGCTATGATGCCAGCAGTCAATGTAGCGAGACAAAGCTAGTGGCTTTTGAATTACTGACAGAACCATTGCCTAAATAGATGTCTCATTGGTAGTTTTCTTTCCCCAAACCCCAGTAAACTGATTTATTCGGCAATTCTCCCATCTGGCTGTGATACATTGCCTTTTAAATTAATTATGAGAATGTAGTGCCATGGCAACATAAGATCCTCAAGTAGCTCAGGTTGTGAATTCTTCCAACTTGCTTGTAGAATTATGTACTGAAATTAGGAGGAGAACTTAACCCATTAACCTCTAAGAGTGACTAGCATCTAATTTCTCGTGACAATATCACTGCTGAATCACACATTGATGTCATGAGAATAAAGGAAATGATCACCAACTCAAGAAACTCTGGATTATTAGACAAATTCTCCTTGTCAGCACCTTCGCAAATGTACAGAGAACAGCATGGAGAATACGCATACTGATGTTAGGGTGTACAGAGTTAAATCTGAATCTCGTCTTGATGTCAAAGGGTTTAATAATAGGATTTGGGTATTTGTGAAAACTATGTATGAAAAAATACACTCTTCAACTTGGTCTGTTAGTTGTCTCTCTAAAACCATCTTTTATTCCAGGTCGCAAGAGGATACAAACATTTGGAATGATGAAATATTTAACAAAACACATCATCGATCCTGATAAAATTTCTCAAAGTGCAATGTAAGGATTGAAGCAAGCAACTGAGACATTGTGACCTCTCTGGAGACAAACTCTGCCCAAGATCAATAATTTATAACAAATTCTAGTAGGAGCTTTTAAAAGCAAATGGTTTTGTTTGTATTTGTGTACAGTATCTTGATTTTTTTTTTCTCAAGGTTGCTTTGTTGCATTAAACTACAGTTCATATCACTTGTGTGAATCATCTTTGCATCTTTAATTATCACCTAGTTCCATTTTGGAGTCCAAATGTTAGTAATCTTTGGCCCATTGGAACAAAGGAAATTATCATATGGAGCCAATAGGAACACAATTGTCTAACCATGCAAGCATAGAAATGACAAAGGATGTATCCAAACCAGTCGCCAGAGACTTTAATCTCCCTATTCACTCAAAGCAGTATATGGTAGTTTGCAGCCTTTCCCTACATTTAGTCAGTTCGGAAAGCTGCAAAACTCTAGAACAAAAATTTGTCTTTCAAATCAGCACTCTTAATTCCCAAGGTATCAAGGAGCACTTTTCATTCAACTAATTTATCCTTGTTCTCTCATCACTATATATACCCACCAATAGCATAGCTCCATTTTCTGTATGTAACAACACACACAACCAACAATCCCTCCATTTGCTTTGATGAAGGGCTAATTATACAATACTATATTACCACAGGTTTTAGACTTGCATCTGATTGGTTAAGAATTGTATAGGTACTCAACCTGCAGTTCTCAGTTTAAACACCAACCAGTGTTATGGTCAACACCTCTCCAATGCCATTTTCACAAAGACAATTCTTTTAAAAGTCTAGCTCAAATGTCAGTTTAATGGTGTTGTTCAAAGTCGTTTTTCTATCCCAGAAAACCACGCATACTTGAAGTCTAAATTTTAATGTTTTTCTTTTATTTTTATCCCAAGGTGATGCTCTTCAATTAACTAGATGTACCAACCTAATATTTCACCATGACTTCATTAGGTATTTTGGCAGAAAATAGTGTTCACGGTAAATTCAAGAAGTAGAAATCTTCTGTTTCATTCAACCATAAAAACAGTTTCAAATTTCACCCATTTAGGCAACCATTAGCATGATCATTGAGACTTCAGTAACAAGTCCAAATGGTCATTTTTGACCAGAGAACTTTGGGTAACTATGTACATAAATGTTCACAAGAAGGTGCAGCACTAAGAGAGGAATTTTTGCAAGGCTAATTTGCAAGGCTAAATTAAACTTGGAGTAATATCTGATTGGCTAACTATGCATTAGTAACCAATCCAGCCTTTCACAATAACGACCACACACTTGATTTTTGTCCACATCACTTACAGCAAAGCAGAAAAAGGCTAATCAGCAGAAAAATTTAAGAAGTTATTTGCCAGTCTAGGTAGTTCTGTATGGGAACAAAGACTGGGCTAATCATGCTGAGTAAAGTCCAAGGCTGAATTTAAGACCTCAGGCAGAGTTTTCCTTTTCCTCCCACTCAGTAAATAACATATAACTACAACTATTGGGCACTTGATTTAACCCTATAACCCCTAAGAGTGACTAGCTTCTAATTTCTCCTT